ATGGAGATCACAGGGGCGGGACTCTGCCAGTTCCCGGAGTCCCCTGCGACGCAGGGCTGGGCTCCAGGGTAATGGGAAGAGGCAGGCTGGAGAAGCTGGCCTGGGCAGACAGCAGCTCCCACCACGACGTGGGGAGTGAGGTCCAGAGGGGTTGGCTACACCACCAAGAGCCCGTGGAGGCACTATGGGCGGTACATGGCAAAGGCCAGGAGACTGAGGAGCAGGGTGAAGCCGGCTAGGCCCAGGGTGGCGGTCAGGGGAAAGAAGGGCCGGTACTGGATCTGGCAGTACCAGAGCAGGAGCAGCAGCAGCAGCAGCAGGGGCAGCAACAGGCTGCCGATTTCCAGCCCGGAGGGGCCTGGCTCTGACCCCGGTGGACAGGGGGGATGTGGAGAACCGACCCTCGTTGACACGTGGCAGTGGAGTACGCAGTTGGGAGGGAGGTGAAGGCTGCCCAGCGTCTGACTGTCGTCTCCTAGAAGCTGGCCTTGGTAGATGAGTCGCACCTGGTGTTCCCGGCCGGGAAACTGGGTCCTGAGGAGAGAGGGACCTGGGTAAGAGAGCAGGCCTCAGGCAATCCTAGTCCCTTGCCCAGAGCAAGGCTCCCATTCTTCCCTTTTGCCCTCCACACACCACCCAGCAGTGGCCTCTGGGAGGCAGTCTGTTGCAGGGGAACAAGAACAGTGTACACTTTGGGCAGCTCCATTCCCTCAAACTGAAAATAAGGGAGGAGTGTCAGATATTTCTGGTGGCCCAGTCTATCTCACCCCATTCTTTAGCATTTGATTCCTACCCTCTTTCCCGCTTACCTTTTCAAGGAGCCAATGGTGTCATGAGGCCAGGCTCTGGCCACCTGTTCCGAATCATTGAGGAATTTGAGCCGTAGCACGAGGGGCTCCTGTGGGGAGTCTGGGGGTGGTGTTGTTGCAGTGACTCCAGGCTCTGGCGGTGCAGCTTGACCTCTGTGTCTCAAACTGGGGGACTCGGCCCCTGGAGCCTCTCCTCTGATGCTGTCAGTGGCTGCCATGACTTCGCTGGGCTGGGCTGGCGTTGAAGTCCCTGGTGGTTGGGGCAGGGTATCGGAGCCCTCCGTGGTATGTGTTGAGACCCAGGCAAGGGCCAGCACCAGAAGGCAGGCAAGCACCGCAAAAAGGATGGTCACCTCATCACCCACCCCTTCAATCAAGGCCATGGCACCTGCCTGCCGTGCTACCGAGCTGGAGAGGGCACAAAGAACAGGTGAGGGGCTGGCTCTCTGGCCAGGAGCCCTCCTAACTTCGACAGGCTTCTGACCCCACCCTGCCACAATTCTCCCACAGTCCTGATTCTTCTGTTCCCTTAACCATCCTAGTACAGACTGCTCTATATCCCAGTCATCCCAAATTTGCCATGTTTTGCCCCTTCCCATCACCAAATCGAAAGTCCTAACTTTGTAACTTGAGTTCTAGGTCTTCTAGCTCAATTCACAGAAACCCTATCTCCAGGAAGGTGTTTGACCTTCTAAACAGCCGGTTCCCTAAACTTAACCCCCATCAAACTTCACCCTAAATCTTACCTGTTCTTTTGACCACTTCATCTCAAAGTTTTGTTTACTCCTTCGCCTATTTCACCCCAAGTTCATATAATGCTCTGTAACTAAGTTTCTCCAAGAGGCTGAAAAAGGGTCTTCAAGCCCACCTCACCCCACCCCTGCATTTCTAGCCTTACCATTTACCCAAACCCCACCCGCGGCACGGGACTCCTTCCCAAAGCTTCCCCCACACCAAACGTCAAAATCCGCCCTTGGGCAATCTGGAGTCTCTGCGCGCTGCCACCCACCCAGCAGGTCCCCTCTTGGTCCACCCAAACCCTCCTCGCGGCAGCTCGATTCCGCGCCTCCACGGGAAGCCTCTCCAAACCCAGCGGCCGCCAGTCCCAGATCCAGTCCAGGAACCCAAGACTGCGCCCTCCCCACCCCCACTGCTCCATCACCCCTCCCATCTTTCTGCCCCCCGAGCCACAGGAGGGCACAGCCGATCCCGGGGCGGGGCGAGGGCGGCCCAGCCCAGACCTGGGGCGGCGGGGTGGGCGCGGCCAAAGCGCGGGGACTCACCGCCCGGCTCCGCCAGCTCCATCTCGGCCCCTCGGGCACTTCCGGGCGGGAGGCGCTGAGGTCGCAGACACCTGAGGCACCGCTCCTTCCCAGCCGCCGCGGCCCCGAGCATTGTGGGATTTGTAGTCCGCGCTGGCATTGCCCGCCTTCCGCCCTGCGGACCCACGTGCGGGGCTCGGTCCGCTGCTCAGGCTGTCCGCCTGTCCGCCGCAGTCGGGGCTGGCGGGGGCGACTCGGGTAATTGTGCTATTCGGCAGAGATTTTGACCTCAGCAGGATTCGTCCCCTTCGCCGCCAGCAGCCAGGGCATCTGTCACTCCAGACACCAACGTCAGCTGAGCACGTCAGAGCACCCTTGTTAGTGATGCAGTGATGAGAGCGCTTGAGAGCTCAGGTGGCCACTACCCCGGCTTTCCCTATGTCAGAGTGGACGCCAGGAAGCAACTTGGCCTTCCAATTTGACGCTTCAGCCCAGAGCTCAGTAGGCGTGAGCTGTCCCAGCGGCCAGCTGAGGATACCTATCTTCTTCAGGACTGGCCCCTCCTCGATCTTACCCTCACAGCACTGTGAAAGAAGAGTGGACTTTGAGCACAAGACCTGATCCCTTAATCTGTGCTCATCGGCAACTCATTCTCTGGTGGATTGTTAAATCTCATTAAACATGTTTCTTCGTTTCTAAAATATACTTCATAAGTCCATTGAAAATCGAGAAATTCGGTATTTTATTAAACAAATGTGAAAACTACGTAAGATTTGTACACAGTAAATATTTGCAGTAGGATTTTCCCTCTTTCCTCTGGGCTCCCTGTAGCCACAGGAATCAGTCATCCTGAATTTTATACATCAGTCTTTGTGGGGATGATCAGGTGCTGAGGATGTAACCCAGGGCCTGGTACGTGCTAAGCAAGTGCTCTTCCACTGAGCTATACCCCCAGCCCTACAGAATAGACTTGATTCAAAATAATCTACCCTAGTCTTCCCAATGCCTCATGCCTACTTGTGGGAGCAAGTGCCCAAAATGTTGCTTTGGTTTAGATTTATGAAGTACAGAACTAATGTCAGTGGCATATGCTTGTAATCCCAACAACTCTGGAGACTGAGGCAGAAGGACCACAAGTTGAAGGCCAGACTCAGGAACTTAGCCGGGTCCTGAACAACTAGTGAGACTATCTCAAAATAAATAAATAAATAATAGGATGGGGATGTAGCTTAATGGTAAAGCCCTGGCTGGATTCAATCTCCGGTTTAAAAAAAAAATTACAGAACTAACTTATCTCTACCCCCTATTCCTTCATCTATGCTACAAATATTCATTAAATATATACATACTATTTACCAGGCATTGTGCAAGATGCTAGGAACAAAATGCTTTATAGACCCTCTCCCTGCCCTCATGTGGCTGTCATACTAATGGAAGAGACAGACTGTGGACAGCCCACCATTTTTAAGACAGGTATGTGCTGGTGGTTAGGGCAACATATTGGAGGAGCCCTTTCCTTTTAGCATCTCTCTGAGAAAGTATATTTGGTAAAGCTCCTTGATGTCAATTCTAATTAAGCATCTAAAAGAGATGTTAGGGTTGCTTTTAGAAATGAAAAGCAACAGAACTAGGTTTTTTGTTGAACCAATCTATTTTGCAGATGAAGTTCAGAGAGGGTACAAGACATCCTCAAGGTCATATAGACAAACTTAATATCTCTCAGGAGATTGGGAGGTCCCTAGTTTGCACCTTTGGAAGTAAAATTTAGGAATGGTGACTGTGTTGGTTGGTAACTGGAGCAGAGTTGTATAGGTAGCTGAATGGCAGACATCTTTATGCTAGGAAAAGATCCTGCTTGACCTGGGAAATATGCGCCAGTATTACTCAAAAGATCCCTGGGTGTGAGTTCTGGCAGATTTATTGGCTGGGTTTTAGGGAGTGTGTATGTGTTGGGTATGGGGGCTAGCAGAACTGCAGATTGCTTCAGCAATGAGAATGCAGAGAAACCGGGACATTTGGGACACTGAAGGGAGCTCTCTAGCCTCAGGAGAGGAATGGCAGGATGGACACGGAGGTGAGAACAAGGAAAATTTTAAGAGCCATGGGGGCTCTAATGAGTCTCTTGATAGGGGGGAGAGAGCACAATTGATTCCTCCCTCTTTTCCTCTGTGCACCTTGGGCAGCATTCAGCGAACTCTCCCCAGCCTGGCACGGAGGATCTTTTAGAAGAAGCCAGTCATAAGAAGGGCGAAGATATTGTTCATCACTGTCATTTCCACCGACTCTGAGATGAAGCTCTCAGGGAGAAGTGGAAAGAGCGGCCGGGAACCAGCCTCTGAGCTGTAGCCAGCAGAGGAGACCGGGGCGGGGCGCCAGGGAGAGAAAACCCCCGGGGCGGAGTAGTCTCTAGGGCTGACCTCAGGGCCCGGGTACAGGAGAGTCTGTGCTGCACTGAAGGGAAGACCACATAAACGAGGCGCACTTGAGCCTCGGAGGGCTTCGCTGCTAATCAGTCGCGTTTATCAGCTCCCTCAGGCGCAGGGCACTACTAGGGCATTGCCCAGAGATACGACACCCGCCCAGACCAGCGCAAGGAGGCGAAAGCGACAGCCGGCCGAAAGGGGCCGGGACAGCAGTGTCGCGGCTCCGGTGGCCGGAGAGCGAGCTGTGAGGGGGGGGGGGGGGGGGGAGGCTAGCGAGCGGGCGGAAGGGCCGAGGCCGGGTGGGCGGGGCCGGGGCCGGAGCGCGCAGCTCAGGGGTGGAGGCTGCAGCGCCAGCGAGCGAGCCAGCGAGGGGCGGGGGCGCAGAGGGGCGGGGGCGGGGGTAACGGGGAGGGGGGCTCCGGCTGCGTGTGCCGGAGCCGGCGGGGGCGGCGGTGCGTGCGCATGACGCGGGGGGAGGGCCCCGGCCGCGCGCTCCCGGTCCCGTTGTTGTTGCCGCTGGAGGCTGCTCCGAGGCAGCGGGATCGCGGCGCCGAGAAGCTCCCGGCTGCGGCCACAGCGTGTGCGGAGGTGCCTCCTGGCCTCGGCCCCCGGTCTCCGGCCCCATGCACTAGTCCCGCGCCGCTCGCTCTGTAGTCCCGGCCTGGCCAGCCCCGCGCGCCCGCTAGCCGCCGCCGCCGCGCCGCCCCGGGCCCCGGTCGGGCCCGCCTCGGGCCCCGCGGCTCCGGTGCCATGAACTTCCAGGCGGGCGGGGGGCAGAGCCCTCAGCAGCAGCAGAGCTTGGCGGCTCCGGGGGCCGGCGGCGGCGGCGGCGGCGCGGGGGGCGGCGGGCAGTTCGGCGGCGCGGGGCCCGGGGCCGGGGGCGGCGGCCCCTCGCAGCAGCTGGCCGGTGGGCCCCCCCAGCAGTTCGCGCTCTCCAACTCGGCGGCCATCCGGGCCGAGATCCAGCGCTTCGAGTCCGTCCATCCTAACATCTACGCCATCTATGATCTGATCGAGCGCATCGAGGATTTGGCGCTGCAGAACCAGATCCGGGAGCACGTCATCTCCATCGAGGGTGAGCAGAGCCGGGGGCTGCGGGAGCCTGAGTGTGCTGGCCCCTCCATCCCCGGCCCGGGGTTCCATGGGCCCAGACCCACCCAGCTTTCACCCTCAGGGGTCCTTACGCGCCCGAGGTCTGGGCCACGCGGTTTGCTGATCTGCTCTGTAGAGTCCAGGTTCAGGCTTTGGCATATCTCGTCCAGGGACACTTTGGGATTTGGGGATCGGTAACGAGCCAGGGGACACGTTTTCCTTTCATTGTGCTCCAGGGTGGTGTCGCCCCGGGGACGGGTGCGCTCGGAGTTGCGGGGTGGGGAATGGGGGCTGGGCCCAGATCTGGTCAGGCATGGCCAGGAAGGGTGGACGCGACGGATAGCCTCCGCGGGCTGAGAGGTGGGGCCGAGACTCTGAAGGCTTCTTAGCTGCTTCCTGGGCCCTTCCCAGCGATGGGGCTGGGGTTCGGAGCCTCTCCTTAGTGGGTGGCAGCTTTCCCGGGCCCAGCGCCCGCTGGCCTAGGAGGGTGGCGCTCGCCGAGGCTCCCTCTCCCGACTCACACCCCCAGTGCCGCCGCGGCCTGGCGGGCGCGGGCCAAGCCTGGCGCGGGGCTGGAGCGCCACGATCGCGTGGGAGGCGTCGGCTGGTCCCTTGGCGGCTTGGTCGGGTCCCGACCGCGCTGGGCAACCGCGCCTGCTCACTCTGAAGGCTTGCTCGAGGCTGGCGGGCGCCGACTGACCTCCAGGGACGCTGCGCCTGGCGTCAGGGACCGGAAACCCCAGGCTACTGCGCTTCCCAGTTTTCTTTTCTGTGGGCTCTTGAGTCCTGGACTTGTGGCTGCTGAGGGGCACAGTAAGCCGGGGCACGCTGCTGGCAGATGCCCGACTGCCTCTGAAGTAGTGGGAGCCTGCTGTACCTACAGGCACCCCAGTGGCATGGTGACCTTCCAGCAAGCTTGGGCAGATGGCCCTCACCCTTGGCCATCTGCTTCCTTCTCTCACTGTTTGAAGGGAGACGCCCACCAGCAGGTGGTGGGTCTGGCCTTAGTGGTAATGCAGGGAGAGTTAAGGCCAGTTGCTGATGACGTGGAGTGGACAGGGGCCTGTCCACTACTTGGTCCTTACAGTTAGGGTTACATTCCTATCTTCATCCCCTTGTGTGAGGCTCTTGGGGCTCCTGCACCTGAACACCCCCTTTCTGTTTTTAGCCTCCCTGTAACTGGGGAAGGAATATTGGGTTCCTTGGGAGTAGAAGGCCCCATTTAGAACTCGGGGCCTGCCCTCTTATTGTAACATTCCAATCTGACTTCCTTCTGTCCTTTTCCCAACCTGCTCTCATCTCCTCTCTCTCAAGGCTAAGTTCACTCTGAACTAATTAGGTGACTGAAAAAACTCATTAACATGGATCTGAGTAAATGGCCTGAATCATCATTGTGGCTGGGGACCAGGGGATGGCATTTGTGTGAGCCCAGGGCCCCAAACAGAGGAGATGTACTTTTTTTCCCCCTAGATCTGAAGGTGGTGGGGTAGGGAAAAACCTTCCCTGAGCTTCAATGTCACCTGGAGGAAATATGAAGTTCTTGATTAACTCCAAGGTGAACTCCCCAGCCCTTTAGAGAGGTGAAGATATTTGGTGGACAGTCACAGAATGCGGGAGACTCTTCTGTGCTGTGAAGGCTATGATTCTGGGATACACTTGGGTTTTTTATTTTAAATTCATCATAACAGGCAGAATTTCCCCTCCCTCTTGACCAACTTCCCCATTGTGGTTTGGAAATACCCCACTGTTCCATCTGCTTAGCCTGGAAGTTTGGTATTGCTATCATGAAATCCTGGGACTTGATGTCTCACTGTCACCAGACCAGTCCAGTTGCTCCTCACCCATCTGTCCTTAGCTCTCTGCCATCCCTTCCCCATCCCTGCTGCCCTGCTCTCTGGGGAGGCCTCCTGGCTCCTTCCCCCTTCTCCTCCTTCCCAACCTCTCTCTTGGAATCTGTCTTTGTTACCCCCACCCCTGCTGGCTTTCTCACTTCTGTCGCCCCAGCTTTTCTGCTGTAGGCAGACTTCAAAAAAATCCAGACTCCTTCTCCCATTTCGGCCCTGTATGCTTCCTGCTGTAGAGCTCTCCATCTGCCAAACCATATTGCTTCTGTCCTGCAAGGCAGTGTCCCCACCTTCCAAGGTGGAGGGAAACAGCAACTTCTTGGGTGTGTCAGGAAAGAGCCCCCTGTGGGCTGAGCAGACTTGGGCTGTTACATAAACAGAGCCTCCCAGGAGCCTGTGCTTCCAGGGAGGGAACCTCTTTGTGGAAAGGGGCAATATTTCAGAGCCCAAGAAACCCTCTTGTTTTGGCCAGTGCTTTGGTGGAGTTTTTTTGTTTTTGTTTTGTGGTGCTGGGGGTTGAACCCAGGGCCTTATGCATGTGAGGGGAGCACTCTACCAATTGAGCTCTATCCCCAGCCCGTTGGTGGAGGGTTTATTTGTCGCAGCTCTGAAAGTGACAGAACCATTTGGCACTGAGGAAGCTCCATGAGCATCTGATCTTCTGGCCTCTCTCGGTTCTCTCAGCCATCCCTGTCCTGTGTCCAGGGCTGGAGGAAGCAGGGGACTGTTAGGTTTTCCTGTGTTGCAGGACAGGATTTGGGGGAAGGGGGCAGATTATTTTGCGAAGTTCCTTTCCTACTAAAGGCCAAGGCTAGAGAAAACTTGTCCATCACTTTGTCTCCGAGAAAACAAGAGAAGTGCCTCCCTGAGCCTGCATGGGGCCTGGAAGGCACACCATACACAGGACCTGTGAGCCACCTCACCTCCTGGGGCAGGAAGAAGGGGACTAGGAAAAGGAAGGAGAGGAAGCTGATAGGACTGGGGAAAGGTGGTGCCTGGCTCTCCCTCTGCACTGCTCACTCCCAGGGAAGAGGGTGGTCCTCTGACTCGAGTTGATTTCTTAGAAAGAGGGATGCAGGAGAACCAGGGTCAAAATCCAAATGAGGGACACCAGGCCAAGCCAGCCAGGATCCAGGAGAAGCCGTTGGGAGAAGCAGCCCTGGTGGGGCAGGGTGCGGGGGATGTCCTGGCAGGTGGCCTGGAAAGGCCTGCTGGCCCCTGAGCAGGTGTGCCTGGGGAGTGCTGCTCCCTGGGGATGGCGCGGGCAGGCAGGACTCTGGGCCTGGAAGTGGACCATGACTACGTGTGTGTGTGCGCGCCATATGGCTACTATTGTGTGTGCAGGAACTGGGCTTTGTCAGCTAGATGACTTGTTCAGTTTCCCCTTTGTTTTCCCATAGAGTTCGTGGTTTTTTTTTAGAATGGAGTTCCTTTGAGCATTCCAGTTGGCCTGGCTGGGCTCTTCTCACCCTTGCCCGCTCACTCCTGAAGTTCCCAGTTTGCCCGCCTACCCTGGTTGTGGGTGCAGTGACATCCTAGAGAGAGTAAGGTGAAGAAATGTGGATTTCTTCCTCTTTGGTTCAAGCCTAGGCTAAGCAGAGAAGGAGCACCAGCTGGGGTTAGGTATGTTGGGGAAGCTCAGAGGGACCTTACTGGAGGGTCCCAGTCTCAGCATCCACACCCTTCCTTGGTGGGGCTCCCTCAGGCCTGTCTGTCCCACGTAGGGTATTATAGTGGGCCCTGTGTTTCCCAAGACAACCTTGTGATGGGGAAAGGATAGGAATGATGATTCTGTTTGGAGACTGGAAGCTCTCCTGAACCAGTTTGCCTTGCTTCCTGTTCTGGGGTGGTCTCCACCCTGGCCGTGACTTTCACTGTAGGACCTGCTGACCTGGGCATTACTCAGGCCAGGCTCCCTAAAGGCCTCCTATTGGAGCGGTCTGGAATGGGCCAGATCCATTTCTTTCTCTGTCACTCTCTTGGTCATTTGGGCAGTTGGCTGCTTTAGGAATGAAATAGCCACTTCAGGAGTGGCTACTTATGTAGGACTTTGCACACCAGGGTTCTAGGAATTCTGCAAAAGGGAATACTCATGTGGGTGCTGGTAGGCAGGGAAGCTGTGTTTGTTCCAGATCCATTTATGTAGCTCCTACTGTGTGGCCCAGTTGCATCTGGCACCTCAGAAAGCAGGAGAACAAAGGGGAGGATGGGGGAGAGGATACAGGAAGTGCTGGGCTTGGCTGCCCTGGGGAGAAAGGCTCAGCAGCAGCAGAGGTCAGAAGGCACTGGGAGTGGTAGCAATAAAGCCCAGATTTTCAGAAAACCAGGGCAAAGCTCAGAGACCTGGGGAGACTCATCATGTTCCCTGCCCTCAAGGTCAGAAGGGGGGCTGGGAAAGCTACCCCAGCCTTATCATAGGCTGCATGACCTCAAGGTCAGCCAGGTGGAAAACTTCCCTCATTCCACTCAATCCATGGCCTCTGACCCAGGATACCTTACCAACAAAACAGCCCTTCCTCCTAAGTACCACATGTCATCTTCTAGAATCATCTATTTCTTCTTTCCTCAGATGATTGCCAGGCTTAGAGCGGCTGGGGCCTGAAGGCACATAGAGGTATTCAAGGCACAGCAAGGTGGTAGTGAACATGGTGGATTCTGTGTATCTGTAGGGGACAGGTGGGTCAGACAGGCAGGACTCTGGGGAAGGAATTATTAATGCTTCCTCCTCTATTTTTTTCCACCCTCCCATGTTCTAAGAAAACATTGGGGGGGGCTGGTGCTTCTCCTTGCAGGACACAGGGTATTCTGGGAAGGTCCAGACAGGAGTGGGGGATGGAGTGCATGTAAGTGGGCTCGCCCTGACTGTGCATTTGTACCCGTGAGCCCTCTGCCAGCTGTCTTCACACCGTTGGCACAGACAAGGAGGGAGCTCTGCTCTGCCTTTTTTTGGAAAGCAGGCATCGGTTGAGAGTACTAAGGTTTGGGGCAAACCCCTTCAACTCCCAATGGCACTGTGTGAACATTGACCCACGTTGCTGCATTCACTTTGTACTACACAGGTAACTTGAAGTTAGTTTAATCCGATTGTTTCCTTCTGCCTCCCCGCTGCACTCCACTGCACAGGCCCAGGGCAAGGGGC